TATCATTCTGATGAAGGGGTGAAACTTGGAGAGATTGGAGTTCCCCAGGATGAAATCCGAGGTTCCAGAAAGGTGTATTTAGGAAATTTGAAAGGGAAAATGGACGCATTAAAAAAAACATCCCGACTGACAAAAAAGGTGCATGTGGAAATGCCATACAATTTATAGCCTTTCTTTGTGTCTGAGTACCCCATGAAAACAGCAGGAATCACCTTAGAGGAGAACTTATCTGAGAAATTTGGTTTGGTGGCATAGCACAAACAGCCAAAAACCTTAAGGTGAGTAAAGGAAGGTGGAACACCATGAAAGAGTTAATAAGGGGACTTGCTAGAAAGAACTGAGGAGGGAAGTCTGTTAATTAAGAAAGCTGCAGTTAAAATGCAGTCACCCCAAAATTTTAAAGGTGCATGAGCTTGAAAATGAAGAGCTCTGGCCATCTCAAGTAAATGCCTATGTTTGCGTTCAGCCACACCATTTTGTTGTGGCATATAGACACAAGAACTTTGATGAATTATACCAAGAGATGTGAATAGACTGGAACATTGAGAATTGAAAAACTCTAGACCATTATCAGATTGGATGACTTTAATAGAAGCTGAAATTTAAGTTTTAACCAAAGTAAGAAAATCCCTTATCAAAACAACCATATCACTTTTCATTCTGAGCAGATAAATCCAAGTCATCCTAGAGTAATCATCCACAATGGTGAGAAAGAATCTTTGACCATTGTAAGTACTTTTTCTATATGGACCCCAAACATCCATATGTACAAGTTCAAAAGGGGATACATTTTTCTTAGTATTAATGGGGAAAGGGGATCTAGTCTGCCTTGCTAAAGGACAGATAGTACAAGGCAGAGATCCTTTATTAGACAAATGACCCTTCAAAGAAGAATTTTTTTTGTAACACTGCTATTGGTGCATGACCAAGTCGTTAATGCCAAATAGAACATGAATCTGGAGGATTAGACGAGGGACATTGTTGAGGAGTAGGTGTTGTTGAGACTGAAGGCTGAGAGACTTAAAAAGAAGATGCTTTGGCAGGTGATGGCTGCTTGATAGGTTGAAGTAGGTAGAGACCATCCTTCTCCTTACCAATCCCCTTCACCTTGCCATTGCAAAGGTCCTGAAATACACAAAAGTCAGGGTAAAAGGCTGCACAACACTGCAATTCTTTTATTAACTTGGAAATGGATAGGAGATTGTATTTGAAATTAGGAACATAGAGCACATTGTGTAACTGATTATCAAACAATGAAACAGTTCCAATGTGAGTGACTAAGGTGGTTTGACCATTAGGTAAATGGATTTTATTAGAGTTGGGAGGCATGGGAGATGGGTTAAGTAAATCATGCAAGCTTGAGATCATGTGATTCGTGGCTTCAGTGTCAATCACCCATGGAACAGTAGTAGTTACACTAGCAGAAAAAAATATCAGGGAGACAACTAGGTATACTTGCCATGTTGGTTGCATCCTCTTGAGAAGGTGGTTCCTTAGTGATCAAGTTCAATATTTGCCGGTACTGCTAAGGAGTAAAGACTGGGAAAGGCATCGTTGGAGCAGTTCCAGTAGTACATGACACAGGCATGGTATGTGCTGCACACTCTGTCAGATTGGCATTATTTTCCATAGGACCCCTGGTATTCCCAAAGTTGTTCCCAAAAGGATGATTAGGCCCGGAATTCTGTACTTTGTCAAAGGACTTCCTTTTGTTGAACTTGGCATTTTGTGGATACCCGACTAATTTATAGCAATTCTCCCTCTTGTGTCCTTTCTTATTGCAATAGTTACAATAGAGATTAGCATTCTTCTTGAATCTATTGCCCTGTGTGGATGCCAATACTGTGGAGTCATTTAAATCCAGTTGTTGTAATGGTTGAGCACATTGTGAAATCATGTTGGACCGTAGCCGTTGACTCTCGTCTTGCATTACATGTTGTAAGCCTGATTTAGGGATGGACTGGGCACTGTTAACAGGATTTGACTTCGTGATTGTGAGTAGGTCTCTTTTAGACCCATCAGAAATTGCATAAGCCTTTGTTGTTCCATATGTTCTGCATATGCCCTGTCACCACCAGGCAAAGGAACTAAAGAGAGATATTCGTCCCAGACATTATGCAGCCTAGAAAAATACTCAGATACAGAGGAAGTGCCTTGAGTCATAGTATAGATTTGACGATGCAATTGATACACTCGTGTGAGATTCCTTTTATCAAAATGCTCTTTCAAGTCCATCCATACCTTATGCGCATTAGAAGAGTACATGAGGCCATTTGCTAGCTCTTTTGACACAGAATTGGTAATCCATGACAAACAAAAGCATTACATCTATCCCATTCATGTAGCAAATCATCCTTATACATTTCTCGACGATAATTTCCATCTATAAACCCTAACTTGTTTTTAGCTAGCAATGCGACTCTCATTGAATTACTCCAGGCAGTATAGTTTTCAATTCCAGTTAGCCGCTGAGGAATTAAGATGCTACCTGGTGTATCCGATGGATGCAAATACAGTGGATTTTTAGGATGAATGTCAGTGAATTTCTCAATCGAGCCGACGATAACACGCTCTTCAGGTGTTGAAGTGTTCGGCATGATGAATGAACAAGAGAAATTGCAGATTTGACGACGATGAGAAATTAGGGTTTCTGTGACGTCAATTACTTCGAGAAAAACTCATAAATTGCACAATCTTCAACGAAATTCAATTCACTACACACTGCAATTGCTCAGCTCAAAGGACCACCAATCGGTGGCTCTGATACCATGTTGGAAGGATTGAGTGAGCTGAGAGAGACACCTAGTCGAGAGAGACGATAATGAGCAGTTGTAGAGAGAGAAATAAAATTTGGAGAAAATGAATCACTCTTAGCTGTCATTCATTGTACACATAGTTATATACATCTGTCTAATGACTTAACCATAACTCCTAACCATAATTAACCTTCAACTACTAACTCTAGTTAACTAAACCCGATTCACTACTTGCAAAGTACTACTCTACAATTTACAGTGCAAAGTACAAGTAAGATATGCTACTACTACTTTCTACATTTATCATTTGGTCTCGTGATAGAGCTAGTGTATCGGTTGCAGGTACGTCCTGACGCAATAATTTTTGTTTAAACTATGTATTCATGTAAAAAAAATTATTAAGTATATATAAATTATTTATTAGAACTCAATAAACTAAAAAGACTAAAATTTTGAATCCACTACTGTTAAATTATCTCCCATTGAACTATGAAAACGTGTGCCAAGAGAAGTCGAAATGACAGTAATATATTAAGAAGAAAGATACGTTTATTTTTCATTTGTTTTCCTTTCTTTTCTCTGATTGTGTCTGCTTTATTATCTCTATCTTTTGCTTTCACTTTTTCTTTTTCCGTTATCATTTCTTCAATAATTTCACACCCCCACTAACTTAAAAAAGGAAACAAAAAGGTGTGGAAATTGCAGTTTCCCTACTTGCTAAGCGAAGTACCAAAAAGTAATAGGAGTACATAATTATACATATAATATACTACTTCAGTTTTAATTTAAGTAATACTTTCCCCTTTTTAGTCAATCTCAACAAAATATTATCTTTCTACATTTAGTAATAATTAAACTTTCGATTTTCTTTTTTGCCTATACAAATTTCTTTGATTTATTTTTAAATCATAAATTTTAAAAATCTTTCTTTATTTCTTAAAACGGGTTTATTTAAACTTAGTAACTTTGATTCAATATTTATTTATGTGTTAAAATTTTAATAAAAATATGCAAATAACTAACTTCAAACTCAATAAATATAATATAATATAATATAATCTCGAAACAAAACTAATAAAATTTAAATTCTAAATCCATCTCTTCTCGATCTAACCCCATTCTCCCCCACTCCTACCCCAGCCTACTGTTTATGGATAAGTGTGAACCTTTCCGTGGAGGTGGGAACAAAAATCCAATGCCACATCTCTGTTTCGTTGAGGGGTTTCTTCACTTCACCAATCAACTATACATATCCACAAATTTAACTAATAACTACCACTCATCACATAATACTTCCTTCGTTCCAATTTATCTGAATTTGTTTGATTGAACACGAAATTTAAGGAAAAATAAAAACTTTTGGAATTTATGATCCTAAACAATTTAAAAAGAGGCCCAGAGTATTTATGTAGTTATAAAAGCTTCTCATTAAGGGTAGAATTATAAGTTTATACAAAATTGTTTCCAAATTTTGAAAGTGGTCATTCTTTTTGGAACAGACCAAAAAAAAAAAATACGTTCACATAAACTGGAATAGAGGGAGAATATAGTACTACAACTAATTAATTCCCCCACCCCCACAAAGTATAACTCTATTTTTCACATTAACTACTGCTCCCTCGTTCGCAAATTATGTATTGTATTTCTTTTTTGTATGTCTTAAGAAAATATTAAAAGGAAAGGTGTCACGATCCAAAATCTCTCCTTAAGGATCGTGATGTCACCTAATCGTTAAGACCAAGTAAGCGTAACACATGCTGAGTTGTTAATAGATATTACCATTTAATCATTAAACATAAACCAGTAAATGACATATATAGCTAAAAACAATCAATAGTTATACATTTTTCCAAGACCGGTGGTACGGAATCATAAACTCTACTGAATACACTAAATCTCTGAATACACAAATGTCTGGAATGAAAATAAACAGTGGTAATGAAAGACAACTGAAGGTGACTCCGATGCTTTCGACGCACTGACAGGTATATCTTGAAGTTACCGCAACAAATCACAAACAACTAACTAATATCCGGCACGCTCCGAGATACCTGGATCTGCACAAATTTAACTACCACTCATCACATAGTAATATCTAGTACTGCAGCCAATCCCCCCTCCACCCACCCCACAAAGTATACTTCTCTTTTTCACATTAACTAGTACTTATCAGTTTGGCAGCTTTCTATTATATATTTTTAGTAACTGGACCACAGTTTCACTCACCAACTATAGCTATCTTTACCTTCCATTACCTACTCTGCTTCCACTAAGGAGGCACGTATTTAACTTGTCTACTAGTACTTGCTTTTCTTAGTGGCCCGTTGATTGAAATAATTTTATTCTCTTAGTTGCATACATTTCTGCTGTTTTTGAGCTGTCGGACCAGTGTTTTATGACTTATCTTTTTCTGGGGTTTCATCTTTCAAGATTATCCAAAATCTTGTTTTGCAGTTTTTGAGCTTTAAAAAAGAAAAACCTTAGTTTGCTTGGTACATGGGTTTGTGGAGAATTCAACATGGTTCCTGTGTTGAAGAGTGAAGGAGCAAATTGGGTTTCAAAGTTTATGTGAAATTATTCAATTCTTGAAAAAAAAATGGAATCTTGGAGCTATGTCTCTGGAGGGGGTAAGGGTTTTGTGTCTGAGGAATCTGCAGCCCGGTGCATTAAGCTCCCACTATGCGCGGGGTACGGGGAAGGACAGGACTATAAGGAATCTGTTTATGTAGATGATGGAATTTCCCTTGGGAAAAATAGAGTAAATGGTTGGGAATTGAACACACCATGCAGCTGGAGAAACAGTATGGGATGGTCAAGTACTCAAGAAAGAGGTAAAGATCAAGATTTTGCTGAAATGGGGTGTCAAGATTTGATGAGAAAATCTTTGTCCAACAACCAAATTAGAGATGCAATGAGTAATAAGCTTGGTGGTCAAAGAGCTTTTGTTTCTATTAGAGTTCCTCACAGTGCATTTTCTGGTGAAGATGAGTCAAGTTCAGTTGTGGAATCAAATTGTAAAGAATCATCACTTATTGATTTGAAACTTGGGAGTTTTAAGTCTCCTAATATTATACCAAATTTGTCTTCAACTGTTCCAGCTAAGAGAAATAGAGCTGGTGGTTTGAGTTCTCATACCCAATTTTGCCAAGTTCAAGGTTGTGGGAAGGATCTAAGCTCCTGTAAAGACTACCACAAGAGGCATAAAGTATGTGAAGTTCACTCAAAGACTGCTAAGGTTATTGTAAATGGCATTGAGCAGAGGTTTTGTCAGCAATGTAGCAGGTTTTAATTCTCACTTCTCATCACTCTGTCCTTGACTTCTTTTTATAACTGTTTAGAATTGAAGGGTAATTTTGCGTAACTAGTAAAGTTGCTGCCATGTGATCGGAGGTCACGGGTTCGAGCCGTGGAAACAGCCTCTTGCAGGGTAAAGCTGCGTAAAATAGACCCTTATGGTCCGACCCTCCGTGGAAACAACCTCTTGCAGGGTAAAGCTGCGTACAATAGACCCTTGTGATCCGACCCTTCCCAGACCTGTGCATAGTGAGAGATTAGTGCACTGGACTGCCAATCTTAGTGCAATCTGTACTTTTTTCCCAAAAATAGAAGGTACTTGTGTCTTGAATTTGATGAATATTGTACCACCTCTTGTGGTACAGATTTTTGAACCTCTGTGAACAAGTTGATTGATCTTAGCTTCTTTATTTCCAATGTCTTATAAAATTCAAATGCTACCCTTGTTTTTATTTATGCTGTTGCTAGTCAACTGATGTGTTCCCTTTATCAAAAGAAAAGAAAAGAAGCACATATATTTTCTCTCAGAGTTAATGGATATCATTGTTGATTCTGAACTTGTAGATTCCATCTGTTAGCTGAATTTGATGATGGAAAACGCAGCTGCCGCAAACGTCTTGCTGGTCATAACGAGCGGCGGAGGAAGCCTCAAACAGGTCTGCATTCTGGCAGAGCAGGAAGACTCTTTCAATCATATGCTGGTAAAAGTAATTCTTCAATCTATGTATCATAGTCCCTCTCCCTGATATTCTAGTATGTTAGTAGAGTCTTTTTATGAATGTAGATCAATTGACCAAACCCCACTATAATATCCTCTTTTAGTATAATTCTCTTTGTCGTTGTCGCTAAGGTTTGCTTTGTTAGATTCCGCATGACGCCATGTTATTTCGATCCCAACAGTTTCTTATAGAGGAAAAAATGTTGAACTATCTCGACAACGACAAGACATGTTCCTGAAATCATTAGTTATACACATAACAGGTTATTGTCTTGCTGTTTAATAATGGTAAAAAAAGGAGGAAAGAAGCATGTATAATTATGTATAGAGCTTAGGTACTTCCACAGATTCCTCTGCATCTCTTTTCTTTTATGCCTAAAGGATATTGTTACTGAGGTTTGGGCCTCTGCTGTGGAATTTTTTGAGAAGGAAAAATAAAAATTTGTGCTGTTTTGGTAACACTCTTTAGGTTCTGCAGTTACAAGGTTTCAAGGAACTCCTTTTGCGACATCATCTTTCATTTGCCAAGATATACTCGGCAGTGGCCTTCTTCATCAACCAAAACACGAAATGCACGACTGGTATAAGAATGTAAAGGTTGAACATAGCTCTGATTACATCCCTCAACCAACCATGCCTTTTACAAACGGACAGTCACAACCTAGACCCCTTTTCAGTACTTCATATCATACCGACAAACACCCTCCAGCTCTTCATGATGAAGGAATAACAGCTATAACAAGAAGCAAAAATAATGAGAGTAGCAACTCATATCTGAACGATATTGAAGGATCAGATTTTGTTTCCCCTTCTCTGTACCACAGCAACTCAATAGGGAGCGAGGTCTTGAATGTTATGGACTCGGCCTCAACTTTTCAAGGGATATCAAACTCTGGCTGTGCTCTCTCTCTTCTGTCATCTCAATCACAAGACTCGTCAAATTATTCATCTCTAGTTCCTAATGCACACCACCTTATTACACCTAGCAGTAGTGCCGATTACAATGTGACACAGACATCTGAAAAGTTCCCAGGGGTGAACCTGAAGGATTCAACAAGTAATGCGTCCAATATATTCAATTTATCCGGAGCAATTTCTGCAGAGGGTCGCTTGGAACAGATACTAAGAAACAACTGTGGCATCAACAGGAGTATTCATGGATTAGATTATGTGAACACCAAGAATCAACTTTCTTGTGAAGATGGTCCCACTATTGATTTGCTTCAATTGTCGTCACAACTTCATCGAGTGGAGCATCAAAGACATTCCATGAAATGAAACAAAATGGCGACACTTTTTCCGGCTTCTGAATCACTTGAGCAGGTAACTGAATAATGTGCCTACAACAATGAGAGTTCTATTATGTTTCCAAGTGAAGTATGTAAGATTTTCTTTTTTGCTCAGCGATAACATTGAAAACCGATAACTGGATAAATATCAGGTATACCAGTTAATGGCATATGGTAAACCAAAACCTTGTAGGTCTGTGCGCGCACTAACCTCCCCCAGACCCCACTTGTGTGATTATACCGGATATGTTATTGTTGTTGTTGTTATATATTCTATGCGCGCTTTGCAAACTCTCTCCTTGCAAAGTAACATTCATTTGTTATGTTTACGTTCTTACCATAAAAATTATTGATGTTTTCAGATACAAATGTATGGACTGAAGTTGATATAGATGTTTCTTGACTTGTGCAGTAACTGGGGCAACAAGCAATCAGCCTTTCCATCTAAACAGAGGTTGGATTTGTAGGAAGCAAATGTACTAGGAACCTTCATGTTTTATCTATTGTTTTTCTTATCGTTTGATGTTGACTATTGTGCCCTACTTGTGAGATCACACTCGATATGTTGTTGTTGATGTTGACCACTGTTCTAGGCATGCAACACTCCCATTCAATAATAATCTGTCATCTTTTCTACTATGAAGACCAAATATAATCATTTGTTTGTTACTAGTCAGGTTCATTTATATGGGTACTAGTTTTAGTGTACGCCCGTTGCGCGTATCCCTAGTTTGTTCAAAGCTCACTATAAACTAACATCTAAACATTAGTAGAATTAATGAGATAATCTTAATTACTTTCCTCGCCTAATAATTATACAGAGCTTTTCAAATATACTTTTATATAATTGTGATTAACAAAATTATTATAGTCATTCAATCTTTGAGCTTGTCACCTATCTCTTAATCAAACTTTTAAGAATAGATTATATCTCCGTATTCAAATATCTGGCCTTTGAACAAAATCTTATAGCATTTTTTTCTCTCTCTCTCTTTTTTTTTTTGGTAATAAAGATAGACATTATATTTAAACAAACAAACGCGTACAGAGAGTTTCATGCCCCTTTTGCACTACTAGGGGTAAGTTGTTACTACTACTAGCTATATTGTTTGTAGTTCTAGTAAACAAGCCGCTAGTACAACATTCCAAAACATGAGTACTACTATCACCATTACTAATATCACACACTACAGGTTGCACTTCAAGGTTATATGTACAATGCGGAAGCAAGCGTGTCGTAGTTACTCCGAGCTTGTCCTCATTCCATATTTTACTAGCACAAGTTGGTGGCGCAGCAAAAAGTTCCATAGTGGTGTCTTCCGTCAAAAAGCTTCCAGCATGAGCTAGCCTATCTGCTAATCTATTTTGTTCTCTGTACGCATGGTTGACTGGTGGATCATGTAGCTGCTTCAGTAGGTGCCTGCAATCACTTAGTAGATTAGCATGCAATATATTGTTATTTGCCAGTAGTCCAAGTACCTCTTTAGCGTCAATTTCCACTTGAATTGGGGTTAAATTGTGTTGAACCGCACATCTAAGTCCTTGTAGTAAAGCAAGTATTTCTGTGACATTAGGCTCTGTGGAGAGCACTGTACCTGCGAAACCAAGGATCCAACTGCCCCTATGATCCCTAATGATCCCACCAATACCATTTCTATTAAAGCGTGTCGAATTTGCCGCATCCGTATTTAATTTATATATGTTAGGCGTTGGCGGGATCCATTTTAGTGGTACTCTTATATTATTATTTATTTTATGTGCAGGGGCAACCAGGTAGCAATATTCAGTTGCTTGTTTTGTGATGAAATTTTTGTTAATTTGATCTTGTCTATCCTCATACATGTTCTTATTTCTCGTCAACCAAATATTCCGAAGACATAAAGGAAGGTAAGACGTCTATTCACATTGTAAGGGAATTTATTTCCAGTATAGCTTAATAAAGGAATTAACCACTCCTGGGGTGTACTATAGCTTAATAGACTATTTATATAATTCCCCATGCCCAGTGTATTCCAAAATGTTTTTGCATTCTTACAAGCAAGAAATAGGTGATTTAAGGATTCATCACCATTGTGACAATAGAAGCAAAGTGCATTATCAGTGATGCAAAGATGATTTAGATACTGTAAAGTTGGTAGTCTGTTGTGGTTTAATAACCAAATAAAATATTTTATTTTAGGATGGACTGGTAGGTCCCATTTTCATTTAAATTGGGCAAGAGTACCATGCGTATTATTACTTTGATTTTGAAGAGCTTTATAGAGTGAATTAACCGTAAATTTTTCATCGTTAGTTAATGCCCAGAAAATATGGTCAGCTTTACGATTATACTTGGATATATAAATTGCCTCAATAATCATTTTTAAATTTTCCAGGAACAGGAAAGGAAGGTCGTTCCAATTCCAAATGTTTCCATTGTATATTGAACTTATGTAACTATTAAGATGAGAATTTGGTATGGGACCACTTATTAAAGAGCGAACAGTCAGACCAGGGCCTAACCACGTATCATCCCAGAACTTTATATGTTCACATGTACCTACGTGCCATTGTACACCTAGTTGGCAAGATTTCCAACCTCTTACTATATTTCGCCAAATATTGGAGTAATTGGAAGTTGAACGTAAAGTAATATATTTATTAATTAAAACTTTGGCCCAAAGACTTTGATTTGAATGAAAAGCCCTCCATGCTAAACTACCTAGCAAAGCAGCATTCTTCTGCTGAAGCGTCTGAATACCTAATCCTCCCATTTCAATTGGTTGAGTAACTGTTCTCCATTTAACAAGGTGAATCTTTTTTCTGGTTGTTGTAGTTCCCCATAAAAAATCCCGTTGGTACTTATCCATTTTTTTATAATTGACGTCGGGATGTGAATATATTGCATAATATGATTTGGCAAATTATTAAGCGTAGATTTTATTAGTGTAGCTCGTCCTGCCATGGTAAGGAACTGAGTTTTCCATCCTGCTAACTTAAGTTTAAAGTTATCTAACAGAAATCGAAAGTCCGCCCTTTTTTGGCGAGCTTGAAACATTGAAAATCCTAAATAACGTCCAAAATTTGCTCCTTCCTTTATATGGAAACAGTCCATGGCTAATGTCTTGTCATTAGTGGTGCTGTTCTTTGAGAAGAATAATTTAGATTTGTCAAAATTTATTCTTTGGCCTGAATGCTTATTGAAGTGATTAATCACATCAATGATGGCATTACAACTTTTATTAGTAATTCTTGATAAAAGTATTATGTCATCTGCAAAGAATAAGTGTGAAAGTTGTGGACCCTTAGTTGAAACTTTAAGAGGCTGCCATTGTAGATATTCCACAGACAATGTAATACTTCTTGAGAACATCTCCATACATATTATAAAAAGGTATGGTGATAAAGGATCACCTTGTCTAATGCCCCTTGATGGGCAGAAGAACTCTGTATGTGTTCCATTGATAAGGATTGAAGTGGAAGTTGTAGTGACACATGACATGATAAGGTTTGTTGTATTTGGTGGGATATTAAAATATTGAAGTGTTTTTCTGATAAACGACCATTCCAACCGATCAAAAGCTTTTTCCAGGTCTAATTTAAGTAACATGTAGCTATGAGTCCCTTTAAATTTAGCTAATTGATTAATTGCCTCCTGTACTATTATAGCATTGTCAGCAACGCGTTTGCCTTGTTGAAAACTATTTTGTGTTGGCCCTATTATTAAAGAAACAATAGGCTTGAGACGATTGACAAGGATTTTTGTAATTAATTTATAAGTAGTATTGCACAAAATAATGGGCCTATACTGTTGAATAGATTGAGCATGCTTAACTTTTTGAACAAGGCATATGTAAGTTTGATTTATTGAAGGAGGAATTACATTTGATTCAAAAATATCGTGGCAAAACTGTCTAACCGTACCACAAACATCGGGCCAGAACTTTTGGTAAAAGAAAGGGTGAAGTCCATCTGGGCCCGATGCTTTCTAAGGACCAAAGTTAAATATGACATGATTAATTTCAATATCCTCAAGTGGTGCTTGCAGAGATTGATTATTCATTGTACTTGATGGACTGAAATTAGAGCTAAAAATGATATTTGTAGACTGAGTATGCTCAGTTGTGAAAAGGTGTTTGTAATAAGATAGGATGTGCTCCTGAATAGTTTGGTGATCATAGAACCAATTCCCAACTGAATCTTTAAGAGAAGTTATTCTATTTCTCCTACGTCTTTGTAATGTAGACATATGGAAAAATTTCGTATTAGCATCTCCTTCATTAAACCAAGTCACTCTTGACTTAAGCTTCCAGAAGTCCTCCTCTAGACTAAGTATATTGCTAAATTCATTGTTTAATTGAACTTCTAGATTTTGAAAAAAATAGCTAGTGGGGTAGTGCATGGAAGACTGAATTCCTGCAAGTCTAGCTAGTATTTTCCTCTTCCGATTATAGATGTTTCCAAATGTATTATGGTTCCAATCTATGAGGACTTGCTGAAAATTTTTAACAGTCTCTAATAATGGTGGCGTATCATGCTAAGTATTTTGAACTAACTGATGAAATTTTGGGTGTGACACCCAAGTAGTTTCAAACCTGAAAATGTTCCTAGGTGGCTGTCTCCGATTATCCAAATTAAGTAGTAATGGACAGTGATCAGAGTGAGTACGGGGTAAATGTTGCACTGTAGCTTCAGGATATAAGTTAATCCAATTATAATTGGCTAAAAATCTGTCTAGTCTTTCTAGTATTGTATGTCCATTTTTTCTTTTATTAGTCCATGTAAATCTACTTTCTTTAAAGCCTAAATCTATCAAGTAACAATAATTAATACAATTTGAAAATCTTTCTGCCCCTATTAATATTAACAGGTAGCCCTCCAAACTTTTCATTTGCATCTAATATATCATTAAAATCTCCTCCAATTAACCACGGGTATTTAAAATAATCATGCAAATCCTTAAGACTCTCCCAAAGTTCATTTCGAGCCTGACATAAATTTTTAGCATATATAGCAGATAATATCCATTTAGGGTTAGTGTGACCTACCTGGACGATCTGCTACCGTGAGCTCCTCCACAGTAATCAGAGTCTCGTTCCACAACACTACCATCCCCCCTTCGAGTCCATTTGCAGATACTTGAGACATGTTAGTGAACTCAAATTCCTGTCTAAGTCCATCATGTTCCTGCATGTACGTCTCAAGTAGTATTAGTAGGGCTGGCCTGTAGTTATCAAGTAGAGATCGAAATTGCCTCCTAAACTCCGGATTATGGGAGCCTCTACAATTCCAAACTATGATATTCATGATATTAGGCTGTGGTTGTGTGACTGCTGGAGTAGACACCAACGGGTTGACAAATGTTGATGTCATCTGATCCTGAAATTCCATCAGTGTTGGACTCTGACGAAGGTTTGGAATCATCACCATCGAGTACTTCCCTTCCTCTCGATTTGCTGTAACTCGGAAGTTGATGCTGCATGAAATCATCTCTGGGGGACACTGTAGAATGAGCTTTTTTGCAAATTGCTCCTAGATTGCAAAGTTGTATCCCTTTTAACCATAAGAACTCTGTCCGTGTCTCTCTTATCTCCGCTATTATTTCTGCTAACTCCTCCTTTGTTTGCATATCTAGTTCGTTGGGAGATGGAGGTGGG